AACACAGTGTGTGTGAGGGGTTAAACTGAAGGATAACATTCACACACTGCTGACTAAATAACATGTATAACACACAGTGTGTGAGGGGTTAAACTGAAGGATAACATTCATACACTGCTGACTAAACAACATGTATAACACAGTGTGTGTGAGGGGTTAAACTGAAGGATAACATTCACACACTGCTGACTACACAACATGTATAACACAGTGTGTGTGAGGGGTTAAACTGAAGGATAACATTCACACACTGCTGACTAAACAACATGTATAACACAGTGTGTGTGAGGGGTTAAACTGAAGGACCAAAACCCATTCAAACACTACATTAATTATCCTGTGTGTGTGTGTGTGTGTGTGTGTGTGTGTGTGTGTGTGCGTGCGCGTGTGTGATCTTCCTCATACAAAGAAACAGCTGTTGTAGTGGCCTCCCTCTGAGCTGAAAGCTGATTGGTTGACAGCTTTCTGTCCCTCGCCTGCAGCAGCCAATCGGGCTGGCAGCATAGACTCTGTTACTACCCAGAATCCCCCTCTGTCTGTGTCTGTAGCACTTCACTGTCAGACTGTGTTAGTGTGTCAATGGGTCACAATACCAGAATTTTAAACTTTGATACGATTCTAGTAAAAATCCTTTTACCTGTTTGTTACCATGGCTACTTAAATAGAAGTCCTTGGCCCTAATATTGACCAATTTATTGTTTTGAATTGACAAGGTGTGGGGGGGTATATTGAAATGTTTTCATGCAATTTAGACAGTGTTCATGAGTTTTCCTGCATGTAGTTTTTTGACCTTTTTGATACTTTCAATTAAAACAAACAGATTATATCATTTAACACATCAACAAAGGATAAAACTTGACAACCTTGTGTTGGTGTGTGCACACAGTGACAGTATATCACATGCTGTACACAGCAGCATGCACAGAGAGAAAGGTTGTGACTGATGATGGTGTAGATCATTCGGGCACAGTTTATGATTAACATGTTGAATTTATAAACACGAGAGGAGAAACTCGCTTTGAAATCAGAAAATTGAAACTATAAACTCTGTACACTGACTGATCATTAACTCACTGCTCCTCCTTCTTTTCTTCCTCCTCCTCCTCCTGCTCCTCCTTCTCCTCCTCTTCTTCCTTCTCCTCTTCGTCTTCTTCCTCCTCCTCCTCCTCCTTCTCCTTCTCTTCTTCCTCCTCCTCCTCCTGCTCCTCCTGCTCCTCCTCCTGCTGCTCCTCCTTCTCCTCTTCTTCCTCAGATGGTCAGGTCATCCCTCTGGTGGAACTGTCAGCAAAGCAGGTGGCGTTTCATATCCCATTTGAGGTGGTGGAGAAAGTGTATCCTCCTGTCCCAGAACAGCTGCAGCTCCGCATCGCCTACTGGAGTTTCCCCGAGAATGAGGAGGACATCAGGTGAGACTAATTAAACTTAAGGACATTAGGTAGTGTCCTTTCTGTCAGGTAGAGTCTGTTCTGCCAGGTAGAGTCTGTCCTGTCAGGTAGAGTCTGTAGAGTTTGTTCTGTCCGGTAGAGTCTGTAGAGTCTGTCCTGTCAGGTAGAGTCTGTAGAGTCTGTTCTGTCCTGTAGAGTCTGTTCTGTCAGGTAGAGTCTGTAGAGTCTGTTCTGTCCGGTAGAGTCTTTTCTGTCAGGTAGAGTCTGTAAAGTCTGCCCTGTCAGGTAGAGTCTGTAGAGTCTGTCCTGTCAGGTAGAGTCTGTTCTGTCAGGTAGAGTCTGTAGAGTCTGTTCTGTCCGGTAGAGTCTGTCCTGTCAGGTAGAGTCTGTAGAGTCTGTCCTGTCAGGTAGAGTCTGTCCTGTCAGGTAGAGTCTGTCCTGTCAGGTAGAGTCTGTAGAGTCTGTCCTGTCAGGTAGAGTCTGTCCTGTCAGGTAGCGTCTGTAGAGTCTGTTCTGTCCGGTAGAGTCTGTTCTGTCAGGTAGAGTCTGTAGAGTCTGTCCTGTCAGGTAGAGTCTGTTCTGTCAGGTAGAGTCTGTTCTGTCAGGTAGAGTCTGTAAAGTCTGCCCTGTCAGGTAGAGTCTGTAGAGTCTGTCCTGTCAGGTAGAGTCTGTTCTGTCAGGTAGAGTCTGTTCTGTCCGGTAGAGTCTGTTCTGTCAGGTAGAGTCTGTAGAGTCTGTCCTGTCAGGTAGAGTCTGTTCTGTCAGGTAGAGTCTGTAGAGTCTGTCCTGTCAGGTAGAGTCTGTTCTGTCAGGTAGAGTCTGTTCTGTCTGGTAGAGTCTGTTCTGTCAGGTAGAGTCTGTAGAGTCTGTCCTGTCAGGTAGAGTCTGTTCTGTCAGGTAGAGTCTGTTCTGTCCGGTAGAGTCTGTTCTGTCAGGTAGAGTCTGTAGAGTCTGTTCTGTCAGGTAGAGTCTGTAGAGTCTGTCCTGTCAGGTAGAGTCTGTTCTGTCAGGTAGAGTCTGTTCTGTCAGTAGAGTCTGTTCTGTCAGGTAGAGTCTGTTCTGTCAGGTAGAGTCTGTAGAGTCTGTTCTGTCCGGTAGAGTCTGTTCTGTCAGGTAGAGTCTGTAAAGTCTGCCCTGTCAGGTAGAGTCTGTTCTGTCAGGTAGAGTCTGTAAAGTCTGCCCTGTCAGGTAGAGTCTGTAGAGTCTGTCCTGTCAGGTAGAGTCTGTCCTGTCAGGTAGAGTCTGTTCTGTCAGGTAGAGTCTGTTCTGTCAGGTAGAGTCTGTAAAGTCTGCCCTGTCAGGTAGAGTCTGTAGAGTCTGTCCTGTCAGGTAGAGTCTGTTCTGTCAGGTAGAGTCTGTAAAGTCTGCCCTGTCAGGTAGAGTCTGTAGAGTCTGTCCTGTCAGGTAGAGTCTGTCCTGTCAGGTAGAGTCTGTCCTGTCAGGTAGAGTCTGTTCTGTCAGGTAGAGTCTGTTCTGTCCGGTAGAGTCTGTTCTGTCAGGTAGAGTCTGTAGAGTCTGTCCTGTCAGGTAGAGTCTGTTCTGTCAGGTAGAGTCTGTTCTGTCAGGTAGAGTCTGTAGAGTCTGTCCTGTCAGGTAGAGTCTGTTCTGTCCGGTAGAGTCTGTTCTGTCAGGTAGAGTCTGTTCTGTCAGGTAGAGTCTGTAGAGTCTGTCCTGTCAGGTAGAGTCTGTTCTGTCCGGTAGAGTCTGTTCTGTCAGGTAGAGTCTGTAGAGTCTGTTCTGTCAGGTAGAGTCTGTTCTGTCCGGTAGAGTCTGTTCTGTCAGGTAGAGTCTGTAGAGTCTGTCCTGTCAGGTAGAGTCTGTTCTGTCAGGTAGAGTCTGTTCTGTCCGGTAGTCTGATCTACCTCTCTCTCTCTCTCTCTCGCTCTCTCGCTCTCTCTCTCTCTCTCTCTCTCTCTCTGCCTCTCTCTCTCTCTCTCTACCTCTCTCTCTCTGTCTCTCTCTGTCTGTCTCTCTCTCTCTCTCTCTCTCTCTTTCTACCTACCTGTCTCTGTCTCTCTCTCTCTCTCTCTACCTGTCGCTCTCTCTCTCTCTCTCTCTCTCTCTGTCTCTCTCTCTCTCTCTCGCTCTCTCTCTCTCTCTGTCTCTCTCTCTCTACCTGTCTCTCTCTCTCTCTCTTTCTACCTACCTGTCTCTGTCTCTCTCTCTCTCTCTCTACCTGTCTCTCTCTCTCTCTCTCTCTACCTGTCTCTCTCTCTCTCTACCTGTCTCTCTCTCTCTCTCTCTCTCTCTCTCTCTCTCTACCTACCTGTCTCTGTCTCTCTCTCTCTATCTACCTGTCTCTCTCTCTCTCTCTTTCTACCTACCTGTCTCTCTCTCTCTCTCTCTACCTGTCTCTCTCTCTCTCTGTCTCTCTCTCTCTCTCTCTCTCTCTCTACCTACCTGTCTCTCTCTCTCTCGCTCTCTCTCTCTCTCTCTCTCTACGTACCTGTCTCTGTCTCTCTCTCTCTCTCTCTCTCTCTCTACCTGTCTCTCTCTCTCTCTCTGTCTCTCTCTCTCTCTCTCTATCTACCTGTCTCTCTCTCTCTCTCTCTCTCTACCTACCTGTCTCTGTCTCTCTCTCTCTCTCTCTCTGTCGCTTTTTCTCTCTACCTCTCCCTCTCTCTACCTGTCTGTCTCTCTCTCTCTCTACCTGTCTCTCTCTCTCTCTCTCTCTCTCTATCTACCTGTCTCTCTCTCTCTCTCTCTATCTACCTGTCTCTCTCTCTCTCGCTCTCTCTCTCTCTCTCTACCTACCTGTCTCTGTCTCTCTCTCTCTCTCTCTCTCTCTCTCTCTCTCTCTCTCTCTCTCTCTACCTGTCTCTCTCTCTCTCTCTCTCTCTCTCTCTATCTACCTGTCTCTCTCTCTCTCTCTCTACCTACCTGTCTCTGTCTCTCTCTCTCTCTCTCTATCTCTCTCTGTCGCTTTTTCTCTCTACCTCTCTCTCTCTCTCTCTACCTGTCTCTCTCTCAGGTTGTATTCCTGTCTGGCTAACGGGAGTCCAGATGAGTTCCAGCGTGGCGAGCAGCTGTACAGGATCCGAGCAGTCAAAGATCCTCTTCAGATCGGTCAGTCGTCGTCTAACACAGAAACACGTTATACTCTCGATATGTCACTAAATAACTTTCTCTTTCTCAGGTTTCCACCTGAGTGCGACGGTCGTGTCGAGTCAGGCTGGTCAGTCTAAAGGAGCGTACAACGTGGCGGTCATGTTTGATCGCTGTCGCATCACTTCCTGTAGCTGCACGTGTGGGGCGGGGGCTAAGTGGTGCGCCCATGTGGTGGCATTGTGTCTCTTCAGGATCCATAATGTGAGTAAAGACGCTGACGGTCACACAGATTCACAGACTCGTTCACTGTGGGCGCCTCCGTCTTTTATTGCAATAACCAAAGATAAGACGACCAATACCTGCGTGCTCGTGCATGAAGTGTACCGGGCATTAGGCACGGCACAGAGCGGTCACACGGTACGGACTGCCAGTGTGACCGCGCCCTAAATTCTCTCTTTTAGTTTCCGGGTCACTTGGAGTAACAACCACAGCTCATTGGGGGGTTAGTCATGTTTGTGTGTTCACACCTGATCGTGTGTGAGCATGCATGTGTCTTTTGGCCTGGCGTGATCGTTGTTTACGACTGTTGTTGTGAAATGTTGTCGGCTGAACCCCGAACGTTTGAAAACACAAACAAAAAACATTTCTGTTGTCAGACCAGCGGATCCTGAACATGTGGTCTGAATCTAGACTTAAACTATAGTGTGCGTGCGTGTGCGTGTGCATGTGTGTGTGTGTGTGTGTGTGTAGGCGTCGGCGGTGTGTCTCCGGGCTCCGGTCTCTGAGTCTCTGTCTCGGCTGCAGAGGGATCAGCTGCAGAAGTTTGCTCAGTACCTGATCAGTGAGCTTCCTCAGCAGGTAACTCGTTCAGGTGATCAATAAATAAATCTGTGTAATAAACATCAGCGTGTTTTGTTGATTGTGTGTGTTTGTGTAGATTCTGCCCACAGCTCAGCGTCTGTTGGACGAGCTGCTGTCCTCGCAGTCCACGGCCATCAACACTGTGTGTGGAGCGCCAGGTAAAACACCTGAGAGAGACTTATTGATACTGTGTGTGTGTGTGACACAGAGGAAACTTCAGAGGAGATTGTTTTCAGATTTTCAGCAACATTAAGAGCTCCATGCCCGCTTTGATTACAGTCGTGTTTGTGTGTGTGTGTGTGTGTGTGTGTGTGTGTGTGTGTGTGTGTGTGTGTGTGTGTGTGTGTGTGTGTGTGTGTGTGTGTGTGTGTGTGTGTGTGTGTGTGTGTGTGTGTGTGTGTGTGTGTGTGTGTGTGTGTGTGTGTGTGTGTGTGTGTGTGTGTGTGTGTGTGTGTGTGTGTGTGTGTGTGTGTGTGTGTGTGTGTGTAGACCCTACAGCCGGCCCCTCAGCGTCTGATCAGAGCACCTGGTACCTGGACGAGTCAACCCTCAGCGACAACATCAAAAAGACCCTGCACAAGTTCTGTGGGCCCTCACCTGTCGTCTTCAGGTACACACTCCTTCACAACACGACGCTCTGTAACACACTCACCTGTCGTCTTCAGGTACACACTCCTTCACAACACGACGCTCTGTAACACACTCACCTGTCGTCTTCAGGTACACACTCCTTCACAACACGACGCTCTGTAACACACTCACCTGTCGTCTTCAGGTACACACTCCTTCACAACACGACGCTCTGTAACACACTCACCTGTCGTCTTCAGGTACACACTCCTTCACAACACGACGCTCTGTAACACACTCACCTGTCGTCTTCAGTACACACTCCTTCACAACACGACGCTCTGTAACACACTCACCTGTCGTCTTCAGTACACACTCCTTCACAACACGACGCTCTGTAACACACTCACCTGTCGTCTTCAGGTACACACTCCTTCACAACACGACGCTCTGTAACACACTCACCTGTCGTCTTCAGGTACACACTCCTTCACAACACGACGCTCTGTAACACACTCACCTGTCGTCTTCAGGTACACACTCCTTCACAACACGACGCTCTGTAACACACTCACCTGTCGTCTTCAGGTACACACTCCTTCACAACACGACGCTCTGTAACACACTCACCTGTCGTCTTCAGGTACACACTCCTTCACAACACGACGCTCTGTAACACACTCACCTGTCGTCTTCATGTACACACTCCTTCACAACACGACGCTCTGTAACACACTCACCTGTCGTCTTCATGTACACACTCCTTCACAACACGACGCTCTGTAACACACTCACCTGTCGTCTTCAGGTACACACTCCTTCACAACACGACGCTCTGTAACACACTCACCTGTCGTCTTCAGGTACACACTCCTTCACAACACGACGCTCTGTAACACACTCACCTGTCGTCTTCATGTACACACTCCTTCACAACACGACGCTCTGTAACACACTCACCTGTCGTCTTCAGGTACACACTCCTTCACAACACGACGCTCTGTAACACACTCACCTGTCGTCTTCAGGTACACACTCCTTCACAACACGACGCTCTGTAACACACTCACCTGTCGTCTTCAGGTACACACTCCTTCACAACACGACGCTCTGTAACACATTCACAGTTAACGTCATAGCCTCTCCACAGCGACGTGAACTCCATGTACCTGTCGTCCACCGAGCCGCCTGCTGCAGCTGAGTGGGCGTGTCTTCTACGACCTCTGAGGGGACGAGAGCCTGAAGGCATCTGGAACCTTCTGTCCATTGTTAGAGAGATGTTCAAGAGACGAGACAGCAACGCCGCCCCACTGCTCGAGATCCTCACCGAGCAGTGCCTCACCTACGAACAGGTGAGTCCTCACCTGGGATCAGTGATGTCACAACGCTCCTCAGGTGAATGTCTTAATATGTGTGTGTGTGTGTGTGTGTGTGTTTCAGATCATCAGCTGGTGGTACAGTGTTCGGACGTCAGCGTCTCATAGCAGTGCCAGTGGACACACCGGGCGCAGTAACGGCCAATCAGAGGTGGCGGCTCATGCGTGTGCGAGCATGTGTGATGAGATGGTGGTGCTGTGGAGGCTGGCGGTGCTGGACCCCACCATGAGTCCCTGCAGGTCAGACACAGAGCATTAAGTCATGTGACCTTTGTTTCCCTAACCTTCACTAAATGTCACCTGTGTGTCCTCGTCTCTCTCAGGCGCCTCGAGCTGGCGGGGCAGCTGAAGCAGTGGCATCTGAAGGTCATCGAGATCGTAAAGCGAGGGCAGCACAGGAAGTCTCTGGACAAACTGTTCCAGGGGTTTAAACCCGCCGTGGAGTCCTGCTACTTTAACTGGGAGGCGGCCTACCCGCTGGAGGGCATCACCTACTGCAGCGCTGACAAGAAGAGCGCCACCTTCTGCTGGTCCAGAGCAGTGCAGCTGCAGAGAGGAGCAAGAGCTGCTGCAGGAGGGGGCGGGGACACGTCAGATGGAGGGGGAGGAGCCAGAGGAGAGGGAGGAGCTGATTTCAAGGGAAGAGGAGGCGTTCACTCCTCCCAGCAAGAAGTGGCCGTGCGTCCCAAAGAGACCATCCTGACCAAAAGGAAGGGTCTGTCTGTCAGCGGAGGGGGGGGGGTGCTGGTTCGGCTGAGTGGCAGTGTGTCTCTGTCCCTGGAGGACGGAGGAGGGAAGTGCATGTACAAAGGGCCCGGCTCCTCCTCAGGGGGGAAGCTAAAGATGACTCAGGGAGGAGGGAAGGGGGGGTCAGTGGTTGGAACAGGAGCAGGGGGGGGGGGGGGGGAAACACGCCAGCACTAAACGGAGGACGAGCAGCGAGGATAGTTCTCTAGAGCCCGACCTCGCTGAGCTCAGCCTGGACGACGGCTGCAGTCTGGCTCTGGGTGCTGAAGCGAGCAACACCTTCGAGTTCTTGCCCCCGCCCCCCGAGATGCTGCCCTCCCCCAGCCCGCTGCTCCGAGACTCTCGTAAATACAGCGGGGGTAGCAAAATGTTTGAAGCAAAGCGCGTGAGCCTCGTGTCCGCTGCAGATCCTCCACCCCCCCAACTACCCCCTAAAGACACTGTGCTGGACTCTGCTGAGAAGGAGGCGGAGCTACAGGCTGAGCTGCAGTCTGACACGGTCCAGAACAGAGAAGAAGAAGTAGATTCTGCTGCAGGGAACCAGCCAGCAATAACCGCTTCAACCAAAACCCCCGCCAAGCCCCCACAGGGCAGCAGGGAGGCAGGACCTGCAGCAGGAGGAGGGGCTGCAGCAGGAGGAGGAGCAGGAGAAGGACCTGCAGCAGCAGGAGGGGCTGCAGCAGGAGGAGGAGCAGGAGAAGGACCTGCAGCAGCAGTAGGGGCTGCAGCAGGAGGAGGAGCAGGAGAAGGACCTGCAGCAGCAGGAGGGGCTGCAGCAGGAGGAGGAGCTGTAGGTGAAGACGACTATCAAGCGTACTACCTGAGCGCTGCCTCAGAAGAAGGAGCAGACAGGCAGCTGGCTGAAAACCACCAGGAGGAGGAGCCAGACATCTTTGCAGGGATCAAACCGCTGGAGCAGGAGGGACGCATGGAGGTAATGGAGGAGGAGCTTACAGGGTTGGATGTAAGACTATTCGATATGCCCTCCAGATTAACATAATTTATTTGTGTGTGTGTGTGTGTGTGTGTGTGTGTGTGTGTGTGTGTGTGTGTGTGTGTGTGTGTGTGTGTGTGTGTGTGTGTGTGTGTGTGTGTGTGTGTGTGTGTGTGTGTGTGTGTGTGTGTGTGTGTGTGTGTGTGTGTGTGTGTGTGTGTGTGTGTGTGTGTGTGTGTGTGTGTGTGTGTGTGTGTGTGTGTGTGTGTAGGTGCTGTTTGCGTGTGCTGAGGCCCTCCATGCTCATGGTTACAGTAATGAGGCGTGTCGGCTAGCTGTGGATCTGGCCAGAGATCTGTTAGCAAACCCCCCTGACCTGAAGGTTGAGCAGCCGCAGACAAAGGTACAGACATACCTGTTCTTATATTTCATGGTTCTATAATAATATTACCTGATCTTGATATTTTATTATTCAGTCCTAACATCGGAGTAAATGTGTGTTTGTGTTCAGGGGAAGAAGAGCAAAGTGTCGACCAGTCGTCAGACTCAGGTTGCCACCAACACGTTGACTAAAGCTGCCTTCCTGCTGACCGTCCTCAGTGAGAGACTGGAGCTCCACAACCTGGCCTTTAGCACCGGCATGTTCTCCCTGGAGCTGCAGAGACCGCCGGCCTCCACTAAGGCCCTTGAGGTGCGACTCTGTTTAATATTATATAAATATACATTATATTTTAGATTATATATATTATATTTTATATTATATATATTTATGTGTAAGCACTCTTAGCCTCTCTCTCTCTCTCTTTGTGGTTCAGGTGAAACTGGCCTATCAGGAGTCAGAGGTGGTATCTCTGCTGAAGAAGATCCCTCTGGGATTGGTGGAGATGTCCGCCATCAGAGAGCGAGCAGAGCAGCTCAGAGACGGAAACTTCTGTGATTACAGACCTGTGCTGCCGCTCATGTTAGCAAGCTTCATTTTTGACGTGCTGTGCACCCCAGGTAAGCACCAAGTCTGTGGCGTTCACCTGTACAGGTCCAGTTCAGGCTTTTATCCACACGCTGTGCACATCCTCACAAACACTGATACAAGCTGCAGTCTGCACATGAACAGTAGGGGGCAGCGCAGAGTGAACACAGCAGAAAGTCTTAGAGACTTTTTTTAGCGACTTGAATTATAAAACAGTTAAACTTTACAAATTAACATCTCTTTGACTTTTCTCCATATTGTTTGTGCAGTTGTGTCCCCAACGGGCTCCCGGCCACCGAGCCGCAACCGCAACAACGAGATGCCGGGTGACGAGGAGTTGGGCTTTGAGGCCGCCGTCGCTGCTCTTGGTGTGTGTGTGTGTGTGTGTGTGTGTGTGTGTGTGTGTGTGTGTGTGTGTGTGTGTGTGTGTGTGTGTGTGTGTGTGTGTGTGTGTTTCTCACCTGTACCGGTGTGTGTGTATACAGGTATGAAGACCACGGTGAGTGAGGCGGAGCATCCTCTGCTGTGTGAGGGGACTCGGAGGGTGAAAGGTGACCTGGCACTGGCTCTGATGATCACCTACAAGGATGACCAGAGCAAACTAAAGAAGGTAACACAAAACAGAGACTTCCTGTGATGTCATCACATTGATCAATGTCTTCCTGTGATGTCATCACATTGATCAATGTCTTCCTGTGATGTCAGGGTTCAATGTTTTTCCATGAAGAGACCTAGGTGCAAGTTAAACAGACAAACATCAAACAGAAGAAGATATGCACGCACACATCCTCAAAAACATTTTCTTTGATTAAAATAAACACTTTGTATACCCCCCCCCCCCAGATCCTGGACAAACTGTTGGACCGGGAGAGTCAGACTCACAAACCTCAGACTCTGAGCTCTTTTTACTCGAGTAAACCTGCTGCAGGAAGTCAGCGCAGCCCGTCCAAACACAACAACACTAGCAGCCACGGCGGGGTAGGCGGGGCCACAGGAGGGGTCTCTAAACACGCCACCGCCTCCTCCTCTGCCGCCCCTGTAGCTGCCACCTCCTCCTCTGCTGTGACTCTGACTGGAGAGGAGGTCTCTCACCAAGACCTGAACCCAGGACAGACCAGTTCAACTGGAGAGACAGGTGAGACACACACACACACACACACACACACACACTGGATCATTTAAACTACAGATCATAATATCTTAATAATAATCAGAAGAATAAAACCCAATTTACACGAAGCCAACCTTGTATAAACGTGTTCTGTCAGGGATTCTCAGACAGAGTGATACCTCCTGTTCCTGTCCTCTCTCTGCAGTATCAGATGGAGCTCCGCCCACTGAGCAGCAGACTGAAACAGCTCCGTTCAAACTGGAAACCACAGTTCCCAGTCGGCTGGCTTTGGGAGCTCGCTGTGGCTCCAATCAGCGCTGCTGGGGCTCACCTGTCCGCCAGAAGAAGAAACACACAGGTGAGAATAACACAATCATATATTTATCCTAACCTGAGTTCTTGTCAGGCTTTAAACGGGGCCACTCTACTGAAACTGCACTACTGTCAGTAACAGAATCGTTACGAGCTGCCAGAGCTGCGGGTCAGTCCTCAGTTCTATTACTGCTAGACCTGTCTGCTGCCTTTGACACAGTCAACCATCAAATCCTCCTGTCCACGCTCTCTGAACATCTCAGGATCTGCCCTCTGCTGGTTTGTGTCCTACCTCTCTGGGCGATCCTTTAGAGTGACGTGGAAGGGACAAGTGTCCAAAGCGCACAGCTTATCCACAGGGGTACCTCAAGGGTCAGTGCTTGGTCCCCTTCTCTTCTCCATATACTCAAACTCACTTGGTTCAATAATCAGCTCTCATGGCTTCTCATACCACTGCTATGCTGACGATACCCAGCTCTTCCTGTCATTCCTGCCAGACGATGTTACAGTCTCTGCAAGAATCTCATCATGCCTTGCTGATATCTCTGAATGGATGAATGAACGGCTCCTTCAACTCAATCTTTCAAAGACTGAGCTCCTTGTCATCCCAGCCAGTCCCTCTATACAATCACAGATCAATATTCAGCTTGGAACAAACCAAACTCATGCCCACAAAGTCTGCCCGGAACCTGGGTGTCATGATTGATGACCAGCTAACTTTTAAGGTTCAAGTAGCCTCGATTGCCAGGTCATGTGGATTTGCCCTGTACAACATCAGGAAGATCAGACCTTACCTGTTAGAACATGCTACACAGTTCCTGGTACAGGCTCTTGTGATATCACGCATCGATTATTGCAACTCTCTACTAGCAAGTCTTCCTACATGCACTATCGAACCTCTGCATATGATACAAAATGCAGCAGCACGACTGGTCTTCAACCTTCCTAAAAGAGCACATGTCACTCCTCTGTTCATCTTCTTACACTGGCTCCCAGTTACTGCTCGCATCAAATTTAAAACTCTGCTGCTCGCTTACAAAACAGACACAGAAACGTCTCCTCCTTACTTTAACTCTCTCATCTAGGTCTACACTCCCTCCCCCCCACTACGCTCTGCCAATGAAAGGCGTCTGATCCAACCTTCACAACAGGGTCCTAAGTTTCTGACTAGACTCTTCTACTCTGTCGCCCCCTGGTGGTGGAATGAACTTCCAAACTCCATGTGATCTGCAGAGTCCCTCTGTACCTTTAAGAAAAAGCTAAAGACCCAGCTCTTTCATGAATACCTACTAACTTAATGATGATGGTCTCCATATTATTGATGATGATGATGGTAATGACGATGGTTTTTGTTTGATAACGACGACTTATAAGATGGTTTCTATACTGATTAGAGCTCTCAAGAACTGCCCTCAATGTTGTGCTTTGCCTCTGGTCACTTCCTGTCAGCACCTGTGTGTCCAATCAGACTCAAAGCTGATCGTTTGCTCTTACTGACATTGTTCCCTTTTTTCTAGATCCTTGCTTGTGTTGTTCTTACTCTCTGATGTACGTCGCTTTGGATAAAAGCGTCTGCTTAGTGAATTGTAGAATTGTAGTGATTGTAGTGATTGAGCATCAAAAAGTACAGAAGCTTTTAAGAACTTCACCTGTTTCATTAGACAGGTGTGAATGAGATGAATGAACACATTATACATTTCTGACTACATTTCCTTCTGGACAGGAAGTCAGAGCAGCAGACTAACGGACAGGAAACAGTGCCAATGTTGTTGTACAGTTTAGACAGGTTGCAAAGTTTGTCTGCAACCTTTGATGAATAATTTATACGATGTCAGGTGTGCAGGTAACAAACAGGTATTGATATTGTTTAATTTTTACTAGAATCATATCAAATCAGAAACCTGCTAGATTATTTCAGACTGTACACCTGACTGTCACGTGAACATTGTGAACAGCTGATGTGTCATGTGTTCAGGTATGGCGAGCATCGATAGCAGCGCTCCAGAGACGACCTCGGACAGCTCCCCCACCCTCAGTCGCCGCCCACTCAGAGGAGGCTGGGCAGCTACATCATGGGGGCGGGGCCAAGACAGTGACAGCATCAGCAGCTCGTCGTCTGATTCCCTGGGCTCCTCCTCCTCCAGTGGCTCTCGTAGGGCAGGGGGCGGAGCCAGAGCCAAGAGCACTGACACCAGCAGGTAAACATATTGACTAACATCATCATCAACTCCTGCTGATAAAATGTCCAACTTTACAGCTGCAGTTCCTCCAGTGTCCACTAGAGTCTGTCTCCTGTAGTGAGTCAGTCCCCATAGAGCTCTATGGTAAAATGTCCATGTTTACAGCTGCAGTTCCTCCTCTCAGTGTTTGTCCTGAGGAATATATACACCTTAGCTGTTCTTGTCTTTCTTTGTCTGAAGATTTTTCTTCTCGTCTCACATCTTTGTGTCTTCAGATATAAGGGGCGCCGTCCTGAGTGCCACGCCCCCCACGTGCCTAACCAGCCGTCTGAGGCTGCGGCTCATTTTTACTTTGAGCTGGCGAAGACGGTTCTGATCAAAGCAGGCGGGAACTCGTCCACGTCTATCTTCACTCAGCCGTCAGCCAGCGGGGGTCACCAGGGGCCGCACAGGAACCTGCACCTGTGCGCCTTTGAGATTGGACTGTACGCACTCGGACTCCATAACTTTGTGTCTCCCAACTGGCTGAGCCGGACGTACTCTTCCCACGTGTCGTGGATCACAGGTGAGGTGGGGGCTGAATGGGGGGGTGGTGGTCTGTTCTGTATTACCTGTATCCTCTGACTCACTTCCTGTCTCAGGTCAGGCCATGGAAATCGGCAGTGCGGCTCTTAACATCCTGGTGGAGTGTTGGGATGGTCACCTGACCCCCCCTGAGGTGGCGTCTCTTGCCGACCGAGCGTCCCGAGCCAGGGACCCCAACATGGTACGGGCAGCCGCTGAGCTCGCCCTCAGCTGCCTGCCCCACGCCCACGCCCTGAACCCCAACGAGATCCAGAGGGCGCTTGTGCAGTGCAAGGAGCAGGTACCAGGATGTTAGCTCTTAAAGCTGCTGGAAAAGGAACCAGTGGGTTTCAATGATCTTAATGAACTTCTCCATCACCCTGCAGGACAACCTGATGCTGGAGAAGGCATGCATGGCAGTGGAGGAGGCAGCCAAAGGGGGCGGAGTCTACCCTGAGGTCCTGTTTGAGGTGGCCCATCAGTGGTACTGGCTGTATGAGCAGTCGATGGGAGGGGGCTCGGGTCAGCAAAGGGAGACATCCGGACGCTGCGGGGCCAATGGGGGCCCGGGCAGGAGACCCGTGGAGTCCAGCTGTGGGGTCATCGAAGTGGGGGCCAACATGGAATCAGGGGGGTTGGCGACAGTGACGGCGTCGGTAACTGCGGCGGCAGTCGTCCCCGTCATCTCGGTGGGGTCCACCATCTATCAGTCTCACCCCCTCCCTGTTCAGGCCTTGGCCCACCCCCACAGCGCGGGCCTCCACCCCTACACCACCATCCAGGCCCACCTCCCCACCGTCTGCACCCCCCAGTACCTGGGACACCCGCTGCAGCACGTCCCCCGCCCCGCCGTCTTCCCCGTGTCGGGGGCTGCCTACCCTCAGGTCAGAGCTCAAACACTCGGGATTATGGGAAATTTCTTATTTATTAATTTCCTTTTTTTTAGAGAGAAGCCAGAAAACTAGTTTCTGTTTTCACTCAAAACACGATCAGCTTAAGTCATGATGACGAGTTAAATCAGCTGATCTGAGGAACAGTTAAATCAGCTGATCTGAAGAAGAGTTTAATCAGCTGATCTGAAGAACAGTTTAATCAGCTGATCTGAAGAACAGTTTAATCAGCTGATCTGAAGAACAGTTTAATCAGCTGATCTGAAGAACAGTTTAATCAGCTGATCTGAAGAACAGTTTAATCAGCTGATCTGAAGAACAGTTTAATCAGCTGATCTGAAGAACAGTTTAATCAGCTGATCTGAAGAACAGTTTAATCAGCTGATCTGAAGAGTTTAATCAGCTGATCTGAAGAGTTAAATCAGCTGATCTGAAGAACAGTTTAATCAGCTGATCTGAAGAACAGTTTAATCAGCTGATCTGAAGAACAGTTTAATCAGCTGATCTGAAGAGTTTAATCAGCTGATCTGAAGAGTTAAATCAGCTGATCTGAAGAACAGTTTAATCAGCTGATCTGAAGAACAGTTAAATCAGCTGATCTGAAGAACAGTTTAATCAGCTGATCTGAAGAACAGTTTAATCAGCTGATCTGAAGAACAGTTTAATCAGCTGATCTGAAGAACAGTTTAATCAGCTGATCTGAAGAGTTTAATCAGCTGATCTGAAGAACAGTTTAATCAGCTGATCTGAAGAAGAGTTTAATCAGCTGATCTGAAGAACAGTTTAATCAGCTGATCTGAGGAACAGTTTAATCAGCTGATCTGAAGAAGAGTTTAATCAGCTGATCTGAAGAACAGCTGCATCAGCTGATCTGAAGAACAGTTTAATCAGCTGATCTGAAGAGTTTAATCAGCTGATCTGAAGAGTTTAATCAGCTGATCTGAAGAGTTTAATCAGCTGATCTGAAGAACAGTTTAATCAGCTGATCTGAAGAGTTTAATCAGCTGATCTGAACAGTTTAATCAGCTGATCTTTTGTCATATTGTTTAGTAATCTTTATTGAACTCCTTCCTGTGAACAGGGGATGCACCCGGCCTTCATTGGGGCTCAGTATCCATTCTCGGTGGCTGCAGGTCCTCAGCCCCCTCTCGCAGCCACAGCTGTGACGTTCCCCGGTGTCCCCGTCCCGTCCATGACGCAGATTGCCGTCCACCCGTATCACACGGAGACTGGGCTGCCGCTCAGCACCACCGTGGCAGGTCAGCATGAAACACCATGTGTGATATATACTTTATGCTGTCTCACCTTTATAAAAGTTCATAATATGATGACATGTCCCCTCAGTGGGCAGCATGCACTCTGGTCCCGCCCTCCAGGCCCTGCCCTCGCTCTCCTCTCAACCTGCCCCATTGGTCAGCACGGCGTTCCCATCAGAGGACGATCAGCACAGCCAGCCAATCAGCCAGCAGGGCCTGCACTACCTGCACTCTGCATACAGAGTCGGTGAGTACCTGAACTACACACAGTACCTGAACCACACACAGTACCTGAACTATACACAGTACCTGAACCACACACAGTACCTGAACTATACACAGTACCTGAACTACACACAGTACCTGAACTATACACAGTACCTGAACCACACACAGTACCTGAACTACACATAGTACCTGAACTACACACAGTACCTGAACCACACACAGTACCTGAACTACACACAGTACCTGAACCACACACAGTACCTGAACTATACACAGTACCTGAACCACACACAGTACCTGAACTATACACAGTACCTGAACTACACACAGTACCTGAACTATACACAGTACCTGAACCACACACAGTACCTGAACTACACATAGTACCTGAACTACACACAGTACCTGAACCACACACAGTACCTGAACTATACACAGTACCTGAACCACACACAGTACCTGAACTATACACAGTACCTGAACCACACACAGTACCTGAACCACACACAGTACTGAACTATACACAGTACCTGAACTATACACAGTACCTGAACCACACACAGTACCTGAACTACACATAGTACCTGAACTACACACAGTACCTGAACCACACACAGTACCTGAACTATACACAGTACCTGAACCACACACAGTACCTGAACTACACACAGTACCTGAACTATACACAGTACCTGAACCACACACAGTACCTGAACTACACACAGTACCTGAACTATACACAGTACCTGAACCACACACGGTACCTGAACTACACACAGTACCTGAACTATACACAGTACCTGAACCACACACAGTACCTGAACTACACACAGTACCTGAACTATACACAGTACCTGAACCACACACAGTACCTGAACTACACACAGTACCTGAACTATACACAGTACCTGAACCACACACAGTACCTGAACTACACACAGTACCTGAACTATACACAGTACCTGAACCACACACGGTACCTGAACCACACACAGTACCTGAACTACACACAGTACCTGAACTATACACAGTACCTGAACCACACACGGTACCTGAACTACACACAGTACCTGAACCACACACAGTACCTGAACTACACACAGTACCTGAACTATACACAGTACCTGAACCACACACAGTACCTGAACTACACACAGTACCTGAACTATACACAGTACCTGAACCACACACGGTACCTGAACTACACATAGTACCTGAACTACACACAGTACCTGAACCACACACAGTACCTGAACTATACACAGTACCTGAACCACACACAGTACCTGAACTACACACAGTACCTGAACCACACACAGTACCTGAACTACACACAGTACCTGAACCACACACAGTACCTGAACTATACACAGTACCTGAACCACACACAGTACCTGAACTATACACAGTACCTGAACCACACACGGTACCTGAACTACACATGGTACCTGAACTACAGGGTTAGGGTTAGGGTAACCCTAAGCCTGGGTGCATAAATCAGCTCAAAGTAAATATGTGTGTGTATAACAGTGTGTTGTAAAGTGTATAAAAACTTGTTGTGTGTGTGTAGGCATGCTTGCTCTGGAGATGTTGGGCAGACGAGCTCACAACGATCATCCAAACAACTTTTCCAGGAGCCCCCCCTACACCGAGGACGTCAAGTGGCTACTGGGGCTCGCTGCACGACTCGGTGATACAAGACAGGACTCGATGGAAGATTCAGTTATTATTCTGTTTATACAACTTTAAAAGTCATGTTTGTAAAACATCTGTGTCCTCTGTCCTTGTGTCCTCTGTCCTCTCTCGTTCCTTGTATCCTCTGTCCTCTCTGTCCTTGTGTCCTCTGTCCTCTCTCGTTCCTTGTATCCTCTGTCCTCTCTGTCCTTGCGTCCTCTGTCCTCTCTGTCCTCTCTGTCGTCTCTGGTTCCTTGTGTTCTCTGTCCTTGTGTCCTCTCTGTCCTCTTTCTGTCCTTGTGTCCTCTCTTTGCTTGTGTCCTCTCTCTGTCCTTGTGTTCTCTGTCCTCTCTCTTTCCTTGTGTCCTCTGTCCTCTCTCGTTCCTTGTATCCTGTGTCCTCTCTGTCCTTGTGTCCTCTGTCCTCTCTCTGTCCTTGTGTCCTCTCTGTCCTTGTGTCCTCTGTCCTCTCTCTTTCCTTGTGTCCTCTGTCCTCTCTCTTTCCTTGTATCCTGTGTCGTCTGTCCTTGTGTCCTCTCCTCAGGAGTGAACTATGTGTATCAGTTCTGTGTGGGAGCAGCTAAAGGTGTCCTGAGCCCGTTCGTCCTGCAGGAGATCATCATGGAGGCTCTGCAGAGGCTAAACCCCGCCCACATCCACGCCCACCTGAGAACACCTGCTTTCCACCAGCTGGTGCAGCGCTGCCAGCAGGCCTACCTGCAGGTAACAAAACGCTTCTACACACAGGTATCAGATATCCCAACATGCAGGGACTGGTGAGGCTGTCAGAGGAACCAGGTGAGAAGAGTGATGTTGGCGTGATAACAGAACACGATCGTCTCTCACCTGGCCTGGGACGGTCTCTGGAGGGGAGATCAGCCAGTTTGTGATAAATCAGAACCATGTGACAGTCAGCAGATTCAACTACATGCTCTCTCTCCCCCCCCCATGTCTCCTCCCCCCTCAGTACATACACCATCGACTGATTCACTTGACGCCTGCAGACTACGACGACTTTGTGAACATCATCCGCAGCGCCCGGGGGGCGTTCTGTCTGACGCCGGTGGGAATGATGCAGTTTAACGACGTCCTGCAGAACCTGAAGAGAGGGAAGCAGACCAAGGAGCTGTGGCAGAGGATCAGCCTGGAGATGGCCACCTTCTCTCCCTGAGGGGGCGGGGCTTCTCTCCCAGAGGGGAGGGGCTTCTCACTGCAAGTAACATCAAAGGGGCAGGGGGAGGGGCTCCAAGACTGTTTCTACCCCATACACTCGAGATCTATCAGGATCCTTGATTTTAGATCGCACACAGGAAGTACAATCAGACCCCGCCCCCTTTTGTTCAGTATGTCTGTGGACTACAGTGTGTGTGTGTGTGTGTGGGGAGGGGGCTGTGACCTCCATTCTTCCCTAGTCTCCTTCCTTGTCACCCCATCCCTAACATTTGAGGACCTTCTGTTTTTGGTTTGACCTTTTGATACTAAAGAACCTGAAGAGGAAGAGGAGGAGGAGGAAGAAGACGAGGAGGAAGAGGAGGAGGAGGAGGATGAGGAAGTAGAGGAGGAAGAGGAAGAAGAGGAGGAAGAGGAGGAGGGGGGGATATTGTTGTTGTTTTTGGGATCCGTCTTTACATTTCAACCTAAAAACCCCAGACCAGCCGGCCCCTCAGGATCTAGGACTCAGTGAACACCACCTGGATCAGACTCCTTCAGTTGGATCTGGATCTGGACCAGACTGCAGGTGACCACGATCAGGTTTTCGACCTCCTGAAGAAGAACATGAAGAGAGTTCGTTGTCCTGCACGTTGACAACGTGTGGTCAGCGTGCAGGAGTTTAATCATTCAAAATAAATAACTCAACATCGGGTGTGTAGGACTTTTATTTGTGTTGCCATGGTAACACACCTGTAATGAAATAGTTTCAGAGTTTAATTTCTGGATTGAAAACCTTCAAACAGGAATTGAAGAACATCTTCAGTCACAACAAGTTCCTGTTTCTTCCTGGTTCAGGAGAGGAGGGTCTAACCGAGGGGCCGCTGGATCCGTTCTCTCTCCTGAGTTTGAAGTCTGGAGGGTGAGTTCTCACCTGGTCCTGGTACTTGTTTCACAGTCATAGCCCCCCCCCCCCCCCCACCTGGAGTTGTTTTAGACCATGGTGCTGTTATCAACACGTCAACGCTCCATCCATCCTGGCAGCTCAGTGGTTCTGGACTCTGATTGGACGTCACAGGTGAAGGTGTGACCTTGCAGGCGTGTAGAAAAAAGTTGTGTGATATTTTTGTATTCTTTAAAGTGTAGCTCCATTAAAAGTTCTCTATGTGATTGAAAAGAATAAAAAAAATCTGAGCAATACTAAAGTGTAGAGTTTACTAAATAAAGACATTAAAACACTGACGCGTCCGAGTCCTCTGTCCCATCTCATCCAGAAGATCGGTTACCATGGTAACTGTGAGGACTATGAGGGGGTCGATCACCATGCTAACACCTGAGCTGCTACGGAGCAGGTAATGTTCAAGAGACCGAGCAGTATAAAAAGATTTCAAAGAAAGAACACAAAGATTAATCAAAGTAAATAAACAAGCAGAGATACACCATTTACACCACCAGGTGGCTATGGATCCCAACATGTACGAATTAGTCTACAGCAGAAGAAGAAAATAAGCATTTCCGGTGACGTAGTTCCGGGCTCATTGTGCACGTGCAGTAAACATTCACATGTAGCCCTGGTCCGTCATGGACTCCTCTACAAAGTGGACTAACTTGCAGACCGGACCGACTCTGAAGAACCTGACCCGGGACGGCTTCGGACACCTGGAGGACGAGCAGCACGCGGCGGTCCAGGACCTGACCCGAGCCCACATCGAGTCCTTTGACCAGGCGGTCTGTGACGGACTGAGCCGGGTCGTTCAGGTCCGAGTTCACTTCACTTTATTTAGGATGAAACACGTAATTATACGTAACATGGGTCAACGCTACTTTTCATCTGTAGTCCTCTGGCCTCCATGTTAAAGAGGCTTGTAGTTAATACGGGTTCATTTATAACTAACACGTCATAACTAACCTGTGACATCACAACTCACCTGTGTGTGACATCACAACTAACCTGTGACATCACAACTAACCTGTGACATCACAACTAACCTGTGTGTGACATCACAACTAACCTGTGTGTGACATCACAACTAACCTGTGACATCACAACTAACCTGTGTGTGACATCACAACTAACCTGTGACATCATAACTAACCTGTGTGTGACATCACAACTAACCTGTGTGTGACATCACAACTAACCTGTGTGTGACATCATAACTAACCTGTGTATGACATCACAACTAACCTGTGTGTGACATCATAACTAACCTGTGACATCATAACTAACCTGTGTGTGACATCACAACTAACCTGTGACATCATAACTAACCTGTGTGTGACATCATAACTAACCTGTGACATCATAACTAACCTGTGTGTGACATCATAACTAACCTGTGACATCATAACTAACCTGTGTGTGACATCACAACTAACCTGTGTGTGACATCACAACTCACCTGTGTGTGACATCACAACTAACCTGTGTGTGACATCACAACTAACCTGTGTGTGACATCACAACTAACCTGTGACATCATAACTAACCTGTGTGTGACATCACAACTAACCTGTGTGTGACATCACAACTAACCTGTGTGTGACATCACAACTAACCTGTGACATCATAACTAACCTGTGTGTGACATCAAAACTAACCTGTGTGTGACATCACAACTAACCTGTGTGTGACATCACAACTAACCTGTGACATCACAACTAACCTGTGTGTGACATCACAACTAACCTGTGTGTGACATCATAACTAACCTGTGTGTGACATCACAACTAACCTGTGTGTGACATCATAACTAACCTGTGTGTGACATCACAACTAACCTGTGTGTGACATCACAACTAACCTGTGTGTGACATCATAACTAACCTGTGTGTGACATCACAACTAACCTGTGACATCATAACTAACCTGTGTGTGACATCATAACTAACCTGTGTGTGACATCACAACTAACCTGTGTGTGACATCACAACTAACCTGTGTGTGACATCAAAACTAACCTGTGTGTGACATCACAACTAACCTGTGTGTGACATCACAACTAACCTGTGACATCATAACTAACCTGTGTGTGACATCACAACTAACCTGTGTGTGACATCACAACTAACCTGTGTGTGACATCATAACTAACCTGTGTGTGACATCATAACTAACCTGTGACATCATAACTAACCTGTGTGTGACATCACAATTAACCTGTGTGTGACATCATAACTAACCTGTGTGTGACATCACAACTAACCTGTGTGTGACATCAAAACTAACCTGTGTGTGACATCAAAACTAACCTGTGACATCACAACTAACCTGTGTGTGACATCACAACTAACCTGTGTGTGACATCAAAACTAACCTGTGACATCACAACTAACCTGTGTGTGACATCACAACTAACCTGTGTGTGACATCACAACTAACCTGTGTGTGACATCACAACTAACCTGTGTGTGACATCAAAACTAACCTGTGACATCATAACTAACCTGTGTGTGACATCACAACTAACCTGTGACATCATAACTAACCTGTGTGTGACATCACAACTAACCTGTGTGTGACATCATAACTAACCTGTGACATCATAACTAACCTGTGACATCATAACTAACCTGTGTGTGACATCATAACTAACCTGTGACATCATAACTAACCTGTGACATCACAACTAATCTGTGACATCACAACTAATCTGTGTGTGACATCATAACTAACCTCTAACATCATAACTAACCTGTGACATCATAACTAACCAGTGACATCATAACTAACCTGTGTGACATCATAACTAACCTGTGTGACATCATAATTAACCGGTGACATCATGTGTATGAATTGTAGAATGTACTAATTTACCTAAATGATTCTAATAACCCGAGTGATACTCAGAACGTTGTCTGTTTGTTTGTTTGTTTGTCCTTTTGTTTGTCCGTTAGTTTGTTTGTTTGTCCTTTTGTTTGTTTGTTTGTCCGTTAGTTTATTTGTTTGTGTTGACGTCCCCCTCGCTGTGTTTGCAGGCGATCCCTCCTCTGGAGTTTTCGGTCAGAAATGAACGCATCAGTTTGGCGTTCGTTGAAGCGACCATGTTCAGCCCCCTGGTGGCCAAAGGCAGCATCTGCAGGGAGATCAAGGTGTTTCCTGCAGAGTGTCGGGGGAGGAGGAGTTCCTACAAAGGGAAGCTCGTGGTCAGTCCAAGTTTTAAAACTTTATATCAGCTCTATCTGCTTTTAGTTTGAAATAAAGTCAGGACTTCCTGTCTGTGTGCAGACCGTGATGCTGACAGCAGTTTAATAACTCTGTGGTCTTTCAGGCGGATGTCAGCTGGTCGGTGAACGGCGTCCCTAAAGGAATCATCAAACAGTGTTTGGGTCAGCTGCCGATCATGGTCAAGTCCAAACTGTGTAACCTGCACGCACTGAGTCCACGAGAGCTGGTGGAACACCACGAGGAGGCACAGGTGAAATACTACACACACACACACACACACACACACACACACACACACACACACACACACACACACACACACACACACACACACACACACACACACACACACACCTCTATGTCTGTAAATAAAGCTTTATTGTGACGTGAACAGGAAATGGGCGGGTACTTCATTGTGAACGGGATCGAGAAGGTGATCAGGATGTTGATCATGCCGAGGAGGAACTACCCCATCGCCATGTCACGACCAAAGTGGAAGAGCCGAGGACAGGGATACACCCAGTATGGTAATTCCACCTTAAGAATCACAATACCACCTTAAATCATACACACGGTACAGTAATACCACCTTAAATAAAACACAGTACAGTAATACCACCTTAAATGAAACACAGTACAGTAATACCATGCCCCCCTTTCCCTCAGGTATCTCCATCAGGTGTGTGAGGGAGGAGCACTCTGCGGTGAACATGAACCTGCATTACCTGGAGAACGGGACGGTCATGTTAAACTTCATCTTCCAGAAGGAACTCTTCTTCATACCACTCGGCTTTGCTCTCAAGGTCAGAAACAAGTCCACAAGTCACAGAGACGAGTCCCAGCTACAGTCAGAAACAAGTCACAGCTAGTCAGAGACAGGTCCCAGCTACAGTCAGAGACAAGTCCCAGCTACAGTCAGAGACAAGTCCCAGCTACAGTCAGAGACAAGTCCCAGCTACAGTCAGAGACAAGTCCCAGCTACAGTCAGAAACAAGTCACAGCTAGTCAGAGACAAGTCCCAGTTACAGTTAGAGACAAGTCCCAGCTACAGTCAGAGACAAGTCACAGCTACAGTTAGAGACAAGTCCCAGCTAGTCAGAGACAAGTCCCGGCTACAGTCAGAGACAAGTCCCAGCTACAGTCAGAAACAAGTCCCAGCTAGTCAGAGACAAGTCCCGGCTACAGTCAGAGACAAGTCCCGGCTACAGTCAGAGACAAGTCCCGGCTACAGTCAGAAACAAGTCACAGAGACAAGTCCCAGCTACAGTCAGAAACAAGTCAACAAGTCCCAGCTACAGTCAGAAACAAGTCCCAGCTACAGTCAGAGACAAGTCCCAGCTACAGTCAGAGACAAGTCCCAGCTACAGTCAGAGACAAGTCCCAGCTACAGTCAGAAACAAGTCCCAGCTACAGTCAGAAACAAGTCCCAGCTACAGTCAGACAAGTCTCAGCTACAGTCAGAGACAAGTCACAGCTAGTGAGAGACAAGTCACAGCTAGTGAGAGACAAGTCCCAGTTACAGTCAGAAAGTCCCAGCTACAGTCAGTAACAAGTCCACAAGTCACAGAAACAAGTCCCAGCTACAGTCAGAAACAAGTCCACAAGTCACAGAGACAAGTCCCAGCTACAGTCAGAAACAAGTCCACAAGTCACAGAAACAAGTCCCAGTTACAGTCAGAGACAAGTCACAGCTACAGTCAGAGAAAAGTCACAGCTAGTGAGAGACAAGTCCCAGTTAGTCAGAGACAAGTCACAGCTACAGTCAGAGACAAGTCACAGCTAGTGAGAGACAAGTCACAGCTACAGTTAGAGACAAGTCACAGCTACAGTCAGAGACAAGTCACAGCTACAGTTAGAGACAAGTCACAGCTAGTGAGAGACAAGTCACAGCTACAGTTAGAGACAAGTCACAGCTACAGTCAGAGACAAGTCACAGCTACAGTTAGAGACAAGTCACAGCTACAGTCAGAGACAAGTCACAGCTAGTGAGAGACAAGTCCCAGTTACAGTCAAAAAGTCCCAGCTACAGTCAGTAACAAGTCCACAAGTCACAGAAACAAGTCCCAGCTAC